TTGATCCATATTTTATTGGTATTGATGACTGGGAAAATGAGAATACATCTTAACTTGTAGTATTAAAAAATAGGTACGATGACATAAAGCTCTTTGCTTTGATGGAGTGTAGTATAAAACTGAACTGTGTTACTCCAAACAAGGCCTTAGAGGTTTATAGTGGAATAGAGCAGAGAAATCCTCGAGTTCAGCTGTATTCTCATTTTCCCAGTCATCAATACCAATAAAATATGGATCAAAAGGAAATGCTTTATCAATATTAGCAGCGTTGCAAAAACCAAGTGACCTTTCAACTAGTTATTAATTGATTGCATTTCCAAACGAAAAATGCTATTTAGGAACATAATTTATTTATAAAAGGACCTACAGTATAAATATTAATAAAAACATGAAGGCAACATACATTTTAAACTGATAGCTGACCAAAACTAGAAAGAAACAGGAAATTATTCAATACGAAGTGGAGCAGCATATTTTGGCAGAGACTACAGATTTAAGCTCACTAATAAGTGTTTAATGACCTGATATCAGAATTAAAAAACAAAATAGGTAAACGCTTTTTAAACTACAAACGTTTTAAAAAATAAACATGGGCGATTAAAGGGCACTTAACCTTCAAAAAAACGAGGAAATTTAATAGTTACATTTTTATGTATCGTTACTTTTTAAAGGCCTGTTGGCCAAATCTGAATTACATTTACATTTTTTAAACACTATTATCTGTTTGTTTTTGTATTGAATAAAATTACCTTTGTTGCCAGATATTCATTGTACATTTAGTATTTTGAACAGTTCTTGTTAATTTACTAACTTCCAAACTGCGTAGGCACATAAAAAAACCAATAATTGGTATACTTTATTAAGAATTTGAATAGTTCAATGAACGGCTTTTATCCTGAAAACCCAACAATTTAGTGATGTGGGTGTAAAAAAAACTAATAGGAAACCGATCTAAACCAGTTACCGTATTTTTCGGACTATAAGGCGCATTAAGTGAAACAAACCAGATAAGTCAAAATTTATTCAACTCATTCACAATAACCACATAAAATCGGTTCGAGGTCAGTAAGCACAAGCAGAAATAATAAATAAGGCGCAACTGGTCATAAGGCTCACCGTCAATTTTTGAGAAAATTTAAGGATTTTAAGTGTACCTTATAGTCCAAAAATTACGGTAATGTCATTGTAGGATTTTTGATGCATCACAGTGGTCCATTTATTGTAATTTTTCCAAGCCAAAACGACACTGAATATTGGTGAAAAACAACAAGGAAAAGCTTTAAAAGGAGAAAAAATAATAATTCAATATTTATTTGTGGTACAAACATGTCTCGTGTTGTTTCCGTACACTGTACAATACGTAAGGTCGATGTCAATCGTATTTCTCTCGGTAGACAGAAAGGTGCCCCCGGTTAACATGCCCCTCCGGTTGATAAACAGACAGATTGCATCTTTTTAAAAACGGTTTACAGCACGATATAAAACAGCTATACAATGTGACTTTGAAGCTGTAACACGATGCAAGATGCATTGTCCAAAAAAATAAAATTAAATCCCTGAAGAATTCCTCACTGAGGTAACGATTTTCAAATCACTTTTTTCCTTCTTTCATTTCTCCCCACCACCTTTCTGCTCTACCGTCCTCACGTATTCACATCCCCCCCCCCCCCCACTCCCTCCCTCACATACACATTCTTACCAAAAAGTACTGTAGCTACAAGGATAAGGACACAGAAACATCCGTTCCCGTGATCTGGTAAATTTACAAACAGAGAAACATTTTCTCCTTGGTTGTTAGAAAGACACAAAAACATGAAAGCAGCTTGAAATCAACCGTGTTCTTCTTTTCGAATAGAAAAGCCGAGTCCTGAAATATACTCAATCCTTGGGTACAGGTGATCAAGTCCTCGCTCTTTTAGATTTTCTCTTCTCGTTAAGTGGGATACGACTCGAGAGTCGAGAAAAGTCCATTTAAGCACGGCCGGACGATTTTCACCTCTGATGCAGTGAGAGAAGTTGCATATAAATTCAAAACGTATACTGAAATATGCAGTATATTCATGTTGAAAGGCCACAGGAATAGCATAGAGCACATTATAACAAAACTTGATGGGGAAAAAAAACGTAATTATTTAAGCAGAGTTGTGAAAATAAAATAAAAATAGTGGCATGCTGGACGACGTTGGTTGTGTGAAGCTTTGGGTGTGTGTTCGCATCGGCACAGGCCTCAACGAAATACTTCAGTCTACAAGCCATAAGTCAGCTGAGTCTCAATTATTTAGAGCATATATTGTACAAAAGATAAAAACGTTGGTCTTAAATTTACAAAATACTGCAAGATAAGGTGTTCTGATATATTGCAGAGTAACGAAGAGGACCTCGTCTGACCCGATACGGTAAGAAGGCGGCTCGCCGTCTAATATCACCGTGCTCTTATTCAAATAGCAGAGAAACTCTTTTTTTTTTTAGACAAGATACAAAGATGTTGAACAGTCAGCATTAGAAACAAGTTATAGATTATATAAGACCAGCTAAAACCAACAGCTCCACACAAAACCCGGTTCCTTTGTTTCCGTTTGGACTTTGTCCACATCCGAGCGTTGAAAACCCGTTTCGAGTTACTTTAAGCCACTGGCAATAATTGTTAATCAACTTTCACATCAGCTAAAATTAAATATAAAATTATGTAGATTAAATTAGTTTAGAGAAGGATGAGCGTTTCACCTTTGGCCTTGCTTCATCTTTGACATCCTAGGACTATTTTTTGGGAACATCTAGCTTTATTTCTATTACAAAAAGAGTTTCTGGATCACACAAAATATTTCTTTATAAATATCTAATTGTGGAACTGCTAACGGGAAACGTTTCCACCTGCTGATTACCAGCACCGGCACGAAAAGCTCAGCGGCGTGACGGTGGGAGCATGAAACCTGAAGCAGAAGCAGCAGCTCTGTTGGGACTTTTCAGGAGGTTTAGCCGTTAAGATCTGACCTTAAACTGAATCACATAAAGTATGTTTTTTTTTTTATTCAAGTTTTAATTATGAAGCCCAAAGCACCAACAGATGTCACCTCATGTCCAATTAAGAGTATTGCTGCTCGTTAATAAAAAGCTGAAGACGTGCTGAATTTAAACACTTTTTTCTTTGAGTGCTGCAGATGTGGACGTTGCCTCATAAAATGTCTCGACCACATAATGTGCGCTGATATGATCAGCAGCAACAGCAGATAAATAAAAATAAACAAAACAGACCTTATTGTTTGTCTTCTTACATGGTAAACATGGTTATGTCTTAGAGAACCTACAGCACCACAGCATGCTCAGGTATACAAAAAGTCATTTTTATATTATGTCATATAAATTATAAAGTCCTCTTTTTTTACTATCTATTTAATAAAGCCAAGGCTTCAGGGTGACTCAACCCAGGCTTGAGTTTCTTTGATGAAATGTGTGATCCAGACTAAGAACCTCCTCTTCCATAATGCTGTTAAGGGACATGAAGCTATCGAAGTCGTGCAGTCTGCGGATGAGGCCGGTCCCAGTCCACAAGCGCAGAATCCCACCAGCTATCACCCACAGCCTGCTGTCCCGTTTCCCCATTTGGCAAATGTTGGCTCTAAAAGGAGGCAGAGTGCTTCCAAGATACGACGCCCAGAAAGAGCAATGCTCCGTCATCTTACCCGGCCTCTGGATGATTCGTCTAAAGCGGACAGAAACCAGTTTCGCAGAACTTGCATGACTACGGCTTTGGTGTAATACTAAAGGAAGTACAGTTTGGGTTAAAGTTGCTTCCCTGCCTGTTTTAACCCGGGCCTACAGTTAGCCCAGTTCTTGCTCCCTCCCCACGGCACCGTGCAGCTGTCGGGACTCGTCGCAGCCTGGGACTGGCCTCTCCTCTGTCCGCTCGTTCTCACTGAATGTCTCTTTATCTGCCTGCATTCCAGATCTGGCTTCAAGTGCCAGCAAATACATGGCTACACCGCTGTGCAAACTGCATCAAGTCATAAAAAATATATATATAAACTAAACAAAAACAACCATTCCCTTTTCTTCTTTTTTAGTTTTACAATCTCCTAAACAATTCTAAAACTGAATTACTTCGTTTTTGGACAAAGATAAAAAGAGTATATATTTATATAAGGTATCAATCTGTGCGTAAATGTACATAAAAATATACAAAAATGCATATAGACATACACAATCTGTTAAGAACTCATACATGTTCTATGTACGTTAACACACATACAGTACAAACATACATACTTTAGGTGTGTGTGTGTGTTCCTTGGTTTTTAAAAACCCTACGTTCAGAGTAAAGTTTCTGATTAGTACCTCCCAGATTCTCCATCTAACACAAATGAGCTCGGGGAGAATGCTGCCGTCTGGTAAATCGAACTCTGCTGCCGATTCTCCGTGCTCCTATCTTTGCACGAAGCTGTCCGTTCAGTTTCTCAGTCATCTATAGGAAGTCGCCCAAGTTCTTTGTTACGAAACAAAGCTGATCAGGGCTTTTAATCCTCGATTTCCTTCATCGCTGAGGGCGACTCGATTATTAACCACTGTTCTCCTCCTCTGGGGTAAAAGAGAACCCCCCTACGTCTCCCTAAACGTGGCTTTCACGACCCCTCCGGTCACTTCAGTGGCGCTCCGTGGCCAGGCTCTCAGACAAGGAGCTTCAGGAGGCTGAAACATTCAATAAAACCGGCTGCTCTCCTCCAGCGCAGCCACTTGTTGCCATGGTAACTACACCACCTTGACCCCACTCCCGCTCCCGCCTTTTGAAAGAAGGAGGTGGTTACAGTTTTCGAGTGTTCTTTTCAAGTGGACTCCAGCGTGTCCAGCTGAAACACGTTGTGATTGGTCGGGGTGGTGAAGAAGAGCTGGTCGTGCTGCGGGGACGTCGTGTGGTTGTCGCAGGGGCTGTTGAGGCCCAGCGTCCGCTCAAAGTCCAGGAGCTGGCCCATGAAGTTAAAGTTCGGAGAAATGTTGGACTTTTTCCGCTTGACGAAGTCGTAGGCGTCGTTGAGCGACAGGTTGAGCTTCTGCATCAGGTAGGCCACGGTGACCGTGACGGAACGACTGATTCCTGCCAGACAGTGGACCAGGATGCCACACTTTTTGGATCGGGCCTCGTCTGAGGAGGAGACGAAGGAGGATAAAAAAAAAGGAGAGAGAAAACCACAAGATTATGTTCAAGTCTAGATTTTACTCAGCAGGATACAAATTATTCAGAAGGAAAACAGATTTGTGTCTAAAAATAACACAAATTATTTTATATAAAGCTATTAAAAAAGTACAAATATAATTTTTCCACAAAAAAAAAAAGAAGAGCCTGTTAAACATAAATTACCTATACCCAAATATTTTGACTGTTGCCATGGCAATGAAAGGTTTGAGTACTCATGTGGTTCTTTTTTTTATTTTTTTAAAAACACACAAATCTCGTGCAGTAAACAAAAAAAAAAAAGATGTTTTTATTCACTTTGCATTAAAAACACTCAGACGTTTAATCTTTTGACTGTCACAGCTCTGATTCAGAGTTCCTGATACTGAGACAGAGTCACACAAACTTTAAAAGTTAAATTACACCAATAACTCATGTCAAAAAGTGGAAATGGTAGTAGTAATTTAGACAAATAATCAGTTTAGGACCAATTTTGTTTTCCTTTTTGCAAATGTTGGCATTCACAGAAAAAAAGGATTTAGCATGTGGAAAGTGAAACTGAAAAACAATATATTGTCTCTTCTATTTTAGTATTTCTGTGGCAAATACACTGCCTGGCCAACAAAAGAAAGTCACCACCTGGATTTAACTAAGCAAACAGGTCCGAGCCTCCTATTGAATAATTACTGTATGGGTGATTATCTTTCAGCTGGCAACAAGTTATTTAACCCAAACTGGTGACATGATTTGCTTCTCATTTCTTAAACAACCATGTTGAAAGACACATTGCGTGGTTGTGGAAAAGATGTCAGTCTGTTTGAGAAGGGTCAAATCATTGTCATCAAGCAGAGAAAATATTTAAGAGATTGTAGAAACTACTAAAATTGGGTTAAGAACTGGCCAACGCATTATTAAAAACTGGAAGGGTAGAGGAGACGCATTGTCTTCGAGGAAGAAATGTGGCCAGAAAAAAATCCTGAATGATGGTGATCAGCGATCACTTAAACATTTGGTGAAATCAAATGGAAGAAAAAACAACAGTAGCACTCAGGGCTACGTTTAATAGTGAAGGTAAGAGCATTTCCACACGCACAATGTGAAGGGAACTCAAGGGATTGGGAATGAACATCTGTGTAGCCTTAAGAAAACCACTAATCAGTGAGGCTAACTGGGGAAAAAAGGCTTCAATTTGCTAGGGAGCATAAAGATTGGACTCTGGAGCAATGGAAGGTCATGTGGTCTGATGAGTCCAGATTTACCTGTTCCAGAGTGATGGGTGCATCAGGGTAAGAAGAGAGGCAGGTGAAGTGATGCACCCATCATGCCTAGTGTCTAGTCATCAATGCAAGATCTTGGTGAAAAATTAACGCAACACTGGATGGAAATAGATGTTGTGACATTGTAGAAGTTTATTGAAACAACGCCACAGTGAATGCATGACGTCATCAAAGCTAAAGGCAGTTCAACAAAATATTAGTGTGTGACCTTTTGTTTTGGTGGCTACTTTTTTTTTGGCCAGGTATATTGTATTTACATAAGAAAATCACCAAGATGATCAATAATAAAAAAAGCAGTCTCATTTCTGTTGAGACAAACATTTATCTGCTTTAAAAAAAAAAGAAGAAGAAGAAAAAGAAGAAGTGATTTATGCAGCATGACAGCCAAATGTTTCATGCCTTGAGCTTTTTAAAAGGTGAACTCTGGCTTCTTGGGAATTTATTTACGTTCTAATAGTTTTTTTTTTTTTTTTAACGCACACAGACAGCCTCTCTGCAAAAATACATCATCCACAAATTCAACTTTGATTGTGCTCAAATGAACTAAACGATCATCAGACATCTTTTTCATCATTGGTTGCACTTTAAGTTTATGTTACGCAACTCCGTGAGAAATGTCTAGGAGGGGGAAGCATCGGCGCAAAATATGCGTTCAACCTGAATGCTGATTCAAATACGAAGATCAATATTTGTACGACAACTTTACTTATAATAATAGGTCAGAATGGCTTTTCTCAATGGCAGAAGAGCACACCATTTCATTCCACTTTTCAGCTTTCTGTCTGAAGCAAACCGTGAATAAAAAGAGCCTCCTACATTATTAAGCTGCTGCATCCAGCCACCTATCAGTTTCGAGCCCTTGCACTTGCATCCACAGGCCATTAGAGCGAGAGTTAAGTGCTTCTTTCCTTCCTTTCTTTCATCCTCTTCTCGCTCTCGGTGCCTGCATCTCTTGTTGTAAGATTGAGGTCAGCCGGCTCACGAGCTCAGCCTGCTGAGCAGTCGCCAAATTAAATTCAGATGGGATGTGTGCCCGCCTTTCACAATAGAAGAAAACGGGGCTAAAACCCCTCATGAGGAGAATTTGACTAAAGTCCACAAGGCTCAGAAGTTGAATAAATAACCAGTTAGTTAATCTGCTGGAACGGATCGTTAGGAGCACTGCAACACTTGTGCTTTAAATACGCATCAAGATGTTTACGAGCCACAAAAACAAACTTAAATCTGTCGCTTGTTTGTACATAAAACACATTTAGATTTTCCTTCAGTGTGTTTACATCCGTGTTAATTATCTCACTGGAACCACAACGATTTGGTGTAATCCTGGACTATTAAACCCAGCCGGACACACCACGTATGACCTCTGGGTCAGACGGGTGTCACACTTGTCCAAAGCAGAATTTATTTGAAAATAAAAGGTTAGTTTGAAGAATCCAAGACAAAAGTCCCTGAAAAACTTTCATTCTCAGAGTAAGGTCAGAAAGAGGAGAAATAAAATTACAAAGTCTTTACAGTAACTTTTGTTTAAAGAAATTACAGTACTTGCACATATTATTTAGATTTTTTTTGTATCTAATGTTTTTTAAATGAGTAAATTTATTTAAAAAAAAACATTTAGCAAAAACATATTTCCACAAAACAAAGCCAACATTTTGTTTAGTTGGAAAACAGACCTAAAGACATGAACAGATTTTAAATCAGAGAGCAAAAAAAGGGCTCAATTAGAGCTTATATAATCCTTTTTTTAATACATTTGTTAACAATATATACATTTTATATATTGTTATAAGTATCGGAGTGTTTGATCCACCCTTTGAGGAGATGCTGGGCTGAATCAAACCATCAGCTTCATCTGCATTAACACAAATGATGCTCTGCCGTAAATTAAATGTTTTACAAACCGTTATATAAACACAGTAACACTCCCTCGAGGCTATTCGGTAGTTCGAGATGTAATTTGATAAGAATACAAGAGAAAGAATGTTATCTTTTCTTTGAATGTGAATTTAGGGGGCTCGGGCAAACTCTCAGCTCTGGTCCTTCCATTTTTTTTTATCTGCATGCTGTTTGTTTTTGGAAATGGGCGTATAAAAACACAAACTTACATCGATAAACCTCGAAGAAAAGAGCCTGAAGTACTTGGTCTGACCGTTAACTCCAGGTGTTTTTGGACCAAACGGTTCTAAAGTCTGAGGGTTTTAAAGACAGTTTGTCTCACTATGGGGTGGTTGTAAATGGTAAATGGACTGTACTTGCGTAGCGCCTTTCTATCTTATCAAGACACTCAAAGATCTTTACACTACAATCTGTGCCCTCATTTACCCAGTCATACAGCACTCTACTAGATCTAACTGAACAAATCATTCTAATCAGAGCTTTATCACATTCATACACCGATGGGACACACATCGGAGGCAATGAGGGGTTCAGTGTCTTGCCCAGGGACACTTCAGCATGTGACTGCTGGTGGAATCGAACCCCTCAACTCTTGCATCGGAGGACGACTGCTCTAACCACTCAGCCACAGCCGCCCTTGTAGGGACCTACGTGCTGGGAAACACTGGTTACAGAAAAATAGTGCTCCCACATCACTGCCTGCAACGTTCACCATCAAGAGCAACAACAAAAGGACGGAGTAGCCAGAGCCATGTGTTCGATGTTTGTCTCAGGATTATTGATCACAGCAGAGCTAGATAATGTGACACAAAGGGTAGCGCCATGAGACAAGTACTCGTATGAAAGATAAGTCAACCTGGAGTTGCACGTTTTCAAATTATAAACAGCTTGTAAGAGAAAACTGAAACAAGTACACAGCGTATTTTCTTGTAGGCAATGCTACAGCTCGCAAACGATATAAATAAACACCAATACGGTTTATAAAAGGTGTGGTTGCTAGAAGGGCTTTCAACTTGCTCAACCCATACACATCCCTTTATGTCACTCAGTGCCCTTGAGCTACGAAAGCATCTACTATACAGCAGGAGCTAAATCAATCATGAGGACTTTGAGCAGCCACAGTACCACCAGTGTGAAAACAAAAAAAGCAAACTGGTTATAAGAACTGTACAGTCCTTGGTTAAAGCACTCACAAACAGAAAACCCAAGCTCAAACTAGCACAGTTTTAATCTCAAATACCTACATTTCTCTTGTCTGCAGGTTGTGTGTGGCTAGTTGATAAAATTGCATCTTTTACACAATAAATTACGAGTCGCACGTTAAACTGCCTCGGGTTACTGAAACACAACCCTGCTGACACCAACATTAATGTTAAACGCCAGCTGACCCAAAGGTTGTACTCGTATAATTATCCATCCATCTATTTTCTATACGTGCCCGCTTCTGCTCAGGGTCAGAGGAAGCTGGACAGGTCCACCAGTCCATCACATGGCCACACAGAGTCCAGCGTCATCCACGCTCACACTCACGTAAATTATGTTAAATTACAATGTAATTAAACATAATTTACAGTTAAAACTACAAAAGGTGATTTTATTCCAAGCTATGATGCATTGTACAGTTGTACTGTGTTGGGACTGACGTTTTAAAAGTGTGCTTCTTGGCACAGAATGTCATCTTGTTCATTTGTTCCTTTTGATTCTTCTGATGTGTACCTGTGAATTTCATGTACAACCACCACCAAATAATTGCATCCACCTACTGTCGAATAAACAAACTAGATTACCGTTCTGTTTTTATCTAAGGTGCACCAGGAGTGAAAAGTCAGAAGTACCTCCACCTTTACTCACCTATAAATGAAATGGCCTCAGGGAAAAACTGTGAAAGGTTCTGGCTCCAGTGATCAGAGATGGGGATCTGTTTGTACTTGAAGTCTCCCTCGTGCTCAAACATGTTGGGCAGGTTGGGCGTCACGTTGAGGATGTACTTGATGTTGTACTTGCTGAGCACGTCCAGGTTCGCAGAGTCTTTGGCACAGCCCAGGTAAAGGTACGGCAGGATTTGGACGGGGAACGCTGGCTGGTTGTTGGGGAGCGGGCTGCCCTCTGACTCGGTGGCGCTGCCCGGCTCGCGGTCAGACTCCCCATCCGAGCAATCGGAGCTGATGCGGAGCCCTCCCAGGCCGAGGACGGAGGCTGGCGGGGAGCTGCTGGGACACGAGCAGTCCAGATTGGTCTCGCAGTGATCAGGATACTCTGACTGGAACTTACTGAAACCTCCTGGAGAACATGCAACAAAGAAATAAAAAGAAAGTCACTAGGTGATATCAAAACATCCACCTATTTATTTATTTTCTTTAACCGTAAGACTTGCAGGGCGCTGGTGCCCGTCTCCAGCAGTGGTTGAGTGAAAGGCAGGGTACACCCTGGACTAGTCACAGGGCCACATAGAGCAGTGGTTTCCAAAGTTTGGGTTGCAACCCCAACGAGAGTAACACAACCCCAATGAGGTTCCTTAGATCAGTAGCTCCCAACCCCGATCCTTGAGGAACATCATCCTTCGTGTTACAGTCATTTCCCTGTTTTGACACCCCTGATTGGAATGAATGGGAGATGAACAGGCTTCGAACAAACTTGAGGAAGTAATTCAATAATTGAATCAGGTGTGATGGAGCAGGGAAACAACAACCATGCAGGACAGTATTTGTTGAGAACCAAGGTTGGGGACGGCTGCCTTACTTAGATTATCTCCAGAAATCATGCAACATTTAAAATTGATTGCTTTTTTGCATAGTTTAATCAGAACTGTGACAAAAATGATAAAAGTAATAATAAATTAATGAAAATGATATATGATAACGGTTGGCAAATGAATCATAATGAAGAATTGTTCAATATTGAGTTATTATTTTCAAATTCTCCTTCTCAAAAGCTTCAAAATGATGCAAGGTTTGCTGAAATCTGGCAATTTATCAACTGGCCTGGCCAAAAAATAAATAAATAAATAAATAAATAAAATAAAAATAAAAATAAAAATAAAAAACTAGCTTTGTTTTCATAAAAGAATGGGAGAAAGATCTTCCAGTTATCAGGCTCCTCTCTTGTGGAACCAACTTCCAGTTTCTGTACGTGAAGCTGACACATTGTCCAGTTTTAAGACTTTCCTTTTTGATAAATCCTATAATTAGGGTCAGCTTGTAAGGCTTAAGCTTAGACTGCTAGAGGACAAATTGACCCAATTTTCTTAAATGAATTGTTAAAATTGAATAGTTTTCATTTGATACTATTTCTATCTTAACATGTGATTCTTGACCTGCCATTGTGTATCTGTTCCTCCTTCCTGTTCCTCTCAATCCAGCTGGTCGAAGCAGATGGCCGCTTGTCCTGAGCCTGGTTCTGCTAAAGGTTTATTCCTCATGAGGGAGTTTTTTCTTTCCACTGTCACCTTCATGCTTGCTCAAGATGAGAGTTCTGTGACAGAGTTAAACTCAAAGCAGTCTGCTCCTCAGATAAATAATATTAAATTATTATTTTTATATATGAATGTTTCTGTTCAGTGACCTGAGACGACTTCAGTTGTGACGGACTTGACGCTATGTAAATAAACTGAATTAAATTGAATAAAAGCTGGTTTGAAAACCTGAGTTTTATTCATTTGGAGTGATGTCGCCAGGAACTCTAGCCCTATCTTAAAAAAAAAAAAAAAAAAGGTCCCCAAGCTTTGGGATGAAAACATTACATGAAGGGATTTCCCAGAGTTACAGAGAAAATAATAATTAAAAATTAAATAAAAAAAAAAGATTATTTCAGAAGACATACTTGTTAGAACAGTTCAAGTTAAAAGGTAGATTAGGGAGATCATTTGATGTTTTACTTACTTGGATTGGTAGATGGTGTCTTTATAAGCACATTTTTGCACAAATCTCTATAAATTTAGCAAAAATCAATGTATGTTTTTTGTACAGCACCCTGCACTCGATCCATTTGCCAGCACGAGTCACATCTATTGTGTACGTTAAAAGACTGCTTTTGTCGTTGCGTCCATTTTCCATTAGGTTACTGACCTTTTTCCATTTACTAATGCACATGCACAAAATGGAGCACCACATTGCTCAAATACATTCAAAGCCAATTCTGGTATTCAAGGTGGGCAATGCGTTAAACTCTAGTCTTTCATTTCCTTAAACCTGCCTTTTTATTGACTTTTATATACAGTAGTCCCTCACTACTTCACGGTTTGACTTTCATGGACTCGCTCTTTCGTGGTTTTTCATTGATTGTCAACTTGTCAATGACTGTCAAGTCACAAATTATCCTGAAGCTCATCGCACATCAACCTGGACGGGGCGGTGGGCTTTGTTGCTGCAGGGTAGATCTGCAGAACCGGAATCGAACCCGACCTGAACCGAGCTGCTGTTCTGCAGAGCTGGGGAGTAATATTTTGCAGTGCTGTACAGTACACAAAACACGCCATGACGGACGTCAGAAGTGACGGACGGCTGCGGTTGAACGGAGCGACAGCGATTGTTTTCCTAGCTTGTTTTTGCGATGGCTTCCTGTTCTACTACGTGTTCTAGTCGAGCCAAGTTATCTGTGGAAGCAAGTAAAAAGCGATATTCACCGTTACGTTTTGTTGAGTTGGAAACTGTGCGTGTATGGTGTTAAAAGTCTGTTTTCTTCGAGCGCTAAGTAGCAAAGCTAGCCGGCCGTAGTTAGCGTGTAGCTTCGTGTAGCTTCTCATCACAGTAGATATCGGGATATGAATTTTATGCCATATTGCACATCCCATTCAAATGTTAGATACAGAGTAGGCCCAGCCAATTTTCGAGAATTCCGCGACCGATTTCCGCAAATAAACCGAGGGCTGCCGGTCCTTACGGTTGATGGCTGCCATCCATCGCCGGCTTCGGTCCTCATCAAAAGGTATGCGATAAAAGGACAAGTTTAGTTTCTTTCCTTGTCTGTTTGAGCAGCCTGCAGAGCACCCTATGACTATTTTTACAGACAAATCAACAGACTAACAAGGATATTTGGCAACCAACTGGCTAAGTTTTGACTAGCTACACAGGAGTGGAGGCGGTTGTATTGACATCCATCATGGTGGACTGGGCCGTTTTCCTAAGAGCGTAACGTCACGTGCAAAGGGTCAATATATAAATACTAAAAAAAATATATAGCGTTCCTACTTCACGGTTTTTCACCTATGGTGGTGTGTGTGGAACGTAACACCTGCGATAATCGAGGGACTACAGTACAACAGTATTTATAAATTAGTTGTATTGGTATTTTACGCTGTGATGGTAAAACGTCCTCATTGAGAAACACAATGACTGCAGCTACAGGTAGATATGAACACTGTTTAGACTAAGCATTTAAAAGAACGGGAAGCAGGCATGAGACCACATCGCATCGCAAAATACTGACTTGGAGCGTGCACTTTAGTATCTGCAGCAGTTTAATCAGTAATGGATGAGTCATGAGCTTTTGTACAGGAACACAATACAAACTCCTCACAAAAGTTGCAGCCTGGTTTCAAACCTGCAACCCTCTGGCTGCAAGGAAACATATCCAACCACCGCACCACCAAACAAACGTTTAGTCTGAATATAAATATATATTTTTAACTCTATAATAAACCAGGCAGACATGTTTTTCCATTAACAAAAACACACAACTCTCTTCTTACACCAATAATATAAGATGTATTTAACCTTAAATGATCCTAAACAGACAGGTGACCATCACAGCGCGCTGATAAGGCGGATAAAAGGAGATTAGCAGGTAATCTGTGTCAGGATGAAGATGAAAACAGGTCGGAGAGTCGCTCCATTGACAAAACAGCCAGCGACACCGTTCAGGCTTTTTGTGAATGGCAGCCAGGTTTGTCACTTCTGTCAAACAAATCTATCCCTCACAGCTCTGACACGCACTATCTGCTCTTACTGACAAATTACAAACTCCCTCGGCCTTTTCTTTTTTCCCAAGTTTACCTCGGTGTGATTTAAAGGACGCCGTCGTGTCCTCGTTTCTCGGTTCATTCATGAAAAAGCCGCAGCTCTTTTCCTGAAGGAGCACAACATGGCGGCTGCGTTTAATGACAACTCGGATAAAACAGCCTCGTGTGGAGTTTAACCGCCTCTAAAGCAAAACCGCAGCGTTGTTCGTCCAACAACAAGCCAGCGAAAAACATGTTAAAGCCAACAGTCGAAATGTGGGGTCGTTTACGCACAAATATCAACTTTAGTTTGTAGATAAATTAAGTTTTCTTTACAAATGCAAAGCCCCTTAAAAGCAGCTTTTTTTTACTCGACTTTCTGTTTTAAAAATGGCGAATTTATCGAGTGGAAATTAAACACGGCTTCGGTGAGGTTTGGAGAGGAAACCTTCACCACCTCCTCCTGGGAGCTCACCTTCCAGGTAGAACGCCTTGCAGCCGTCGTCCCGGAGCTTCTGCAGGAGCAGCCCCATCACGGAGCTCCCCAGCCCGGACTCCTGCCGCTCCGACGCCGCCTCGTCGTACAGGAGCACCACGTCCGTCTTGCACCTCTTGACGAATTTCTCCTTGTCCTCGTTGTTGGGGATGATGGAGCGGATGGGGAGGTTGCCCTTCTTCAGCCTCCGCAGCATGAGGCCCGGGATGGCCAGGTTGATGGCGGACTCGATGTGCGAGGACTCGAACAGCTCGTGGGGTCTGCAGTCCAGCAGCAGCAGCGAGCCGGCCCCGGACTCCAGCTCGTCCTGCAGCCACTCCACGCTCTTACTCGACATCATCGCCGTCACGATCACGGAGCCTCTGCGCGGAGGATTACTTCTCATCGGGGAGACGTTAATCCACCTGCCCCTTGTCGTGGCATGACAACATAACTCAATCAGGAATAATATTTTTTTTTTAAAAAGGAGAGAAAAAAAAAAATCACGGCGCTCAACTTCGCCTCCCGCGGTCACCTCCACCGCCGCTCCTGCGGGCGCGACGCACACCTCCACGCGCGCACGCACATCCAACACACACCCGGACGCTCCTGTGGTCGGAGCGGGACGCTCGAACACGCAGAGGTTTCTTTCGCTCAGTCCGGCAGAAGCGGGAGTCAGTCCAGTCCATCGACGTCCATCGGGTCGAACCTGAAGGCGGAAAAAGCCGAACGGCCCCGAGGACGCCTCGCGAGCTCTCTCACATGCTAACTTCCGCTGAGCGGCTGGTCGTGAAGCCCACGGTGGTGGGAGTTGTTGTCGGACATGCTGGCCTCTGGTTGATCACTTCCTCTGGATGCTTTAAAGACAGTCTGCGGGCTGAGGAGAGGAGGAGGAGCTGAGGAGCTTAAAGGCGCAGAGCTGATCCATTCATCAGAACACACCGCGAACCACACACTAATTCATAGATACGGTTTACAAATATCTTTTTTTTTTTTTTTTATCAGGAAATGCTGGTCAGAGCAGCTACTACCCCAAAACCCCCCAACATCAATTTTCAATTCAGTTTAATTATATACAGGTCCTTCTCAAAAAAATTAGCATATTGTGATAAAGGTCATTATTTTCCATAATGTAATGATAAAAATGAAACTTTCATATATTTCAGATTCATTGCACACCAACTGAAATATTTCAGGTCTTTAATTGTTTTAATACTGATGATTATGGCATACAGCTCATGAAAACCCAAAATGCCTGTCCCAAAAAATTAGCATATCATGAAAAGGTTCTCTAAACAAGCTATTAACCTAACCATCTGAATCAACGACGTAACTCTAAACACCTGCAAAAGATTCCTGAGGCTTTTAAAAACTCCCAGCCTTGTTCATTACTCAAAACCGCAATCATGGGTAAGACTGCTGACCTGACTGCTGTCCAGAAGGCCATCATTGACACCCTCAAGCAAGAGGGTAAGACACAGAAAGAAATCAATCAACCTTTATTTATACAGGTAAATCCCATTGAGCCTCGAGGACTCATTTACAAGAGAGACCTGATTTCAACAAAGAAAGATGACAACAATGGACAACAGCAACAACAATAAGCAGTTATAAAAAACTCATACTACAGTTTTTTTTTTTTTTTTTTTTTTAACAAATAGGATGGCTAAAAGGAAAAAGGTAACAAAACCAAAAAAACAGCTAGATTCCAAGACAAATGTATAAAACTAAAAACAGGAACATGTCAGCATTGGACCCTGCCAGGAGTCCAACAGATTCTTAAAGCCACTTAGAGAGGTCAAGGTCGAGAGCTTCAAATCTTTTTGTAAGATATTCCAGGAAACAGGAGCGGAGTAGGAGAAGGCCCTTTTGCCTAGTTCAGTCCTCATTGAGGGAACACTGCAGGTAATAATGTCCTGAGAGCGCACTCCGTAGCTGCACTCACGCAGAGACATGTAGGAGGAGATGTATGAAGGCAGCAGACCAAGAAGTGATTTAAAGATGAAAATGTACCAGTGAGAGAGTCTGCGTGAAGTTAATGATGTCCAGTTAACCAGTGAATACAGGGTGCAGTGGTGGGTACGATAATCACAGCCAGTTATGAATCTTAGTGCACCATGATAGACAGCATCCAACATCTGCAGGGTTCTTGTAGGAGCGTTCATGTAAATAATATCACCAAAATCAATTGAGGGAAGGAAAGTCACAGATACAAGGCGTTTTCTAGCATTCAGGGTTAGACAGGATCTGTTTCTGAAAAAGAAACCCAGTTTAATTTTCAGTTTCTTTACCAAGTTTTCCACATGGAGCTTAAAAGAAAGATGTGAGTCGACCAAGATACCCAAATATTTATAGGAATCAACAAACTCAATGGGGACACCATTTGAGGATAAAATCGGAGGAAGAACTGCTGGGACTAACTTCCTATTTGAAAAAAGCATCCCTTTGGTTTTTTCGGCATTTAGGACAAGTTTGAGGTGAAACAAATCAGTCTGGATGTAGTTAAATGCAGATTTCAAAAGCTGGAAAGCCTTAGCAACAGTTTTAGCTCGACAATAAACAACTGTGTCATCAGCATAGAAATGTATGGATGCATTAGGGATGTTTTTACCTACATTATGTATGTAGATTGTAAAGAGGGTGGGTCCTAAGACTGAGCCTTGTGGTACACCATTGTTGACTGTTAAATAACTGGAGGAAGTACCATTATGTTGAACACATTGCCTCCGGTCTGAAAGATAGTTAGAGAACCAACCAATGGTGTGATCTGAGAAACCGATTTCTGAGAGTTTATGACACAAGATGTTATGATCCACAGTGTCAAAAGCTTTAGACAAGTCTAAGAAAAGTGCAGCACAATAATCCTTAGCATCCAGTGCTTCAACAACGTCGTTAAGAACCTTCAGTGAAGCAGTGGTTGTGCTGTGTTGTTTCCTGAAACCAGATTGATGTGGAGGTAAGATGTTAAATGAGTCCAGGTAATTGCTGAAATTGCTGAACGAATAGGCTGTTCCCAGAGTGCTGTATCAAGGCACCTCAGTGGGAAGTCTGTGGGAAGGGAAAAGTGTGGCAGAAAACGCTGCACAACGAGAAGAGGTGACCGGACCCTGAGGAGGATTGTGGAGAAGGGCCGATTCCAGACCTTGGGGGACCTGCGGAAGCAGTGGACTGAGTCTGGAGTAGAAACATCCAGAGCCACCGTGCACAGGCGTGTGCAGGAAATGGGCTACAGGTGCTGCATTCCCCAGGTCAAGACACTTTTGAACAAGAGACAGCGGCAGAAGCGTCTCGCCTGGGACTGCTGCTGAGTGGTCCAAAGTTATGTTCTCTGATTACAGTAAATTTTGCATTTCCTTTGGAAATCAAGGTCCCAGAGTCTGGAGGAAGAGAGGAGACAGAATTCATGTTGCTTGAGGTCCAGTGTCAAGTTTCCACAGTCACTGGGGTGTCATGTCAGCTGCTGGTGTTGGTCCACTGTGTTTTATCAAGGGCAGGGTCAATGCAGCTAGCTATCAGGAGATTTTGGAGCACTTCATGCTTCCATCTGCTGAAAAGCTTTATGGAGATGAAGATTTCATTTTTCAGCACGACCTGGCACCTGCTCACAGTGCCAAAACCACTGGTAAATGGTTTACTGACCATGGTATTACTGTGCTCAATTGGCCTGCCAACTCTCCTGACCTGAACCCCATAGAGAACCTGTGGGATATTGTGAAGAGAAAGTTGAGAGACGCAAGACCCAACACTCTGGATGAGCTTAAGGCCGCTATCGAAGCATCCTGGGCCTCCATAACACCTCAGCAGTGCCACAGGCTGATTGCCTCCATGCCACGCCGCATTGAAGCAGTCATTCATGCAAAAGGATTCCCGACCAAGTATTGAGTGCATAACTGAACATGATTATTTGAAGGTTGGTGTTTTTGTATTAAAAACACTTGTCTTTCATTGGTGGGATGAAATATGCTAATTTTTTTGGACAAGCATTTTGGGTTTTCATGAGCTGTATGCCATAATCATCAGTATTAAAACAATTAAAGACCTGAAATATTTCAGTTGGTGTGCAATGAATCTGAAATATATGAAAGTTTCATTTTTATCATTACATTATGGAAAATAATGACCTTTATCACAATATGCTAATTTTTTTAGAAGGACCTGTAGCGTTAAATCACAACAGGGCACTGTATAAACATTCACATATAAAACCAGTTAATAACATTATTTATCTAAGGAGCCATTTGAGTTTTCACTTCATCACAGTCTCCCATCCTAAGCGAGCACAGAGGCAACGGTGGAAAGGAAGAACCAGGCTCTGGACAAGTGGCCATCTGCTTCGACCCGCTGAGTTTGAGAGGAACAGGAAGGAGAAAACAAACACACAATGACAGGTCCAGGATGGAGACCATCATGTTTGCTCTAGGAGGGGGGGGGGGGGGGGGGGGGGTGGGAAAAGAAATCACATGTTAAGAAAGAATAAGTACAAATACAAGCTATTCATTTGTAACTGTTCATTTGATAAAATGAGGTAAATTTGTCCTCCAGTAGTCTAAGGCTATAGCAGGTTATAGGTCAGGAAAACAAACTGACTAACTATAGGATTTATCAAAAAGGAAAGTCTTAAGCCCAGTCTTAAAACTGGACAATGTGTCAGCCTCACGGACAAAAACTGGAAGTTGGTTCCACAAGAGAGGAGCCTGATAACTGGAAGATCTGCCTCCCATTCTGCTTTTGGAAACTTTACGCAAGTAAGCCTGCAGCCTGAGAGCGAAGTGTTCTTTGTGGAAAATATGGAAAAATAAGATATCAAATATAAGATGGAGCTAGGTTGTTGAGAACTTTGTAGGTTAGAAGTAAGGTTTTGAATTATATTCTGAATTTGACAGGGAGCCAGTGGAGAGAAGCTAAAACTGGAGAGATATGATCTCTTCTTCTAACTCCAGTTAAGACTCTGGCAGCAGCATTTTGGATTAACTGAAGACTTTAAAGAAGTATTTGGACACCCAGATAACAAACCATTGCAATAGTCCAGTCTAGCCGTGACAAATGCATGAACCATTTTTTTCTGCATCTTTTTAGATAAGATGTTTCTAATTGTAGCGATATTACGCAGGTTGAAGAAGGCGGTTCTAGTAACGTTTTTGAATGTGGGGGCTAAAAGACATGTCCTGATCAAAAATAACACCAAGATTGTTAACATTAGAGCTGGAAGCCAGATTAATACCATCCAAGAAGGGCTAAAGACTGAAAAAAAAATTCTTAAAATGCTCAGGTCCAAAAACTAAACCTCAGTCTTTCTTGTCTGAGTTTAAAAGCCAAAAATTAGGGTCATCCAGGTTTTTACATCTTTAAGACATGCTTGTAGTCTAAGTAGCTAATTTGATTTATTGGGTTTCATGGACAAATATAATTGTGGATCATCAGCATAACAATGAAAATGTATCCCATGCAGTTTAATTACTTTACCTAACAGAAGCATATACAAGGTAAAGTGTATTGGTCCAAGCACTGAACCCTGAGGAACTCCATAACTAACTTTGATGTAAGAAGAAGATTCATTATTTACATTTAAAAACTGGAATATATCAGATAAACACAATTTAAACCAATTTATAGCCATTCTTGTAATTCCAATATCATATTCATGTATCTAGTAGAATTTGTGATCAACTGGAGCACTGAGGTCTAACAGGACCTCAACCATTACGGAACGGAACCGGAAGAATTTTCTGAGATAAGCTAAACAAACAACAAAGAAACAATAAAATCATTTTGTTGAGTAAACTGTACAAGAAAGAGAGGCAAGACGAAATGTCAGAGCTGCTTCTAGGGGGCTCATTATGGTCACCATAGTAACCACACAGCATC